CTTTTTGTATCTCTGCTTCTGTCTCCTTGAACCCCAGTCGGCCTCGGTGGATGGCCACTCACACAGCCTGGTTCTGCTGGAGGTTTCTTCCTGTTAAAAGGGAGTTTTTTCTCTCCACTGTCGCTACAAGCATGCTTAGTGTGAGGGATGCAATTTGAGTCAATGAGTGAATGCAATCAACTGGTTTCCTTAGATAGAAAACTTTGAATCAATTTGACTGTATGATCTGGTGAACTGTAAAGTGCCTTGAGATGCCATGTGTTGTGAATTGGTGCTATATAAATAAACTGAATTGAATTGAAATAATATCTGATTAAATAAGATATTTCCCACCCCTACCGGGGAGGGCAATAGACATCTTAAAGTAACAGAAATATAAATTCCCAGCTGACTGGGAATTGAATAGAATATAAATTAACAAAACTGTACATTTTTGTTTAACTTCTCTTGTTTTGTTCTTTTTTTTGTGTGTTTTTATGCATTTGTTTGTCATTACTAACCTCCCTCCCCCTTAATGCTAACACCTTTTAAAAGCCTAACCAGGGACGAAGGCTGCAAATTAGCCCATGGCTACAAGCCTTGTGTACTTGGACATCGGCCACCTGTTTGGTTGCAATGTTTAATTGTACTGTCCCTGTCAAATAAAGAAATAAATAAAAAAATAAAAAACATTAATATGACATCCTACCTGGATGGGCAATGAACTTAATATCTCAACACAGCCAAACAGAAATGGACAAGATGAAGCATAAACAGCATAATGTTAGAGATTAAACTAACATATTCTGCAGAGTAGGAGAATAGAGATAGAATGAAGCGGAATGATGAAAAAGGGGTCCCTAGGTTCTCCAGCAGTCTAAGCCTATAGCAGCATAACTGTAGACTGGATAACCAGAGCCACCCTAACTGTAAGCTTTATCAAAAAGGAAAGTTTGAAGCCTTGCCTTAAACTTTTAAGGATATTGTGTATGCCTCACAGACTAAAACTGGTAGTTGGTTCGACAGAAGGGGAGCCTTGTGATGAAAATATCTGCCTCCCATTCTACTTTTAGAAATTCTAGTAACCACTAGTAAACTTGCAGATTGAGAGCAAAGTTTTCTGTTAGGAACATAAGAAGCAATCATATCTCGAATATAAAATTAAGCTTGGCCAATTAAATTCTATCCTGGATTTAACAGGAAGCCAATGAAGAGAAGCTAGGATAGGAGAGCTTTGATCTTTCTTTTTAGTTTTCATCAGAACTCTGGCTGCAGTATTTTGGATCAGCTGAAGGTTTTGAATACAGTTTGTATACTTCCTGATAGTAAAGAATTACAATAATAATCAAAATAATATTCGACCATTGCTCTATATATTATGAATAGAACAGTGTTATCTGTATTGCAACTAAGTCCTGCAAGACAGCGCATAACATTCATAATCTTATTACACTTTGTCTCAGAGATGCTTTCTCGATTTTGAAAAGAAGCCAGGTAACCCGTTGTAGAGCAACTCCATCTCTTTATTATTTTTTGCCTCTTAAGAACAACCGGAAGTACTTGAAGTGCTTCTGGTTTGGCCCTCCATAATAGAGAGAGAGGGGGAGAGACATGCAGCAAAGGACCACAAGTCGAATTCTAACCCGGGCTGGCCGCGTGGAGGACCAAGGCTCTGTACATGGGTCATGCGGGCCAACCGCTGCGCCACCTAAACGCCCAAACAAGGCAGTTTTTAACAGATTACACCACAGGTGGTGTTTTTGGTCTGCCTTTTGGTCTGAACTTGCAAGCTTATATTTATGTATATTTAATTTAATGTCAGTTGTTTAAACTTTTTTGGGGGAGTATCTAAATATAATGCTTTATTTCAGCTATCTATATTATATTTCCTATATTGAGTTCTTTTTTTTTTGTTTGTTTCTTCAAGTATTTCTAAGTATTTTATAAGTATATGAATATTGTTTTATGTAAAATTGTCCAAGATAAAGCATTTTAGTTTCTTTTGTGTACATGTACATTAGCAGACACTGTAAGTACTGTGCAGCAATGCAAAGTGGGTGTCACCTAAAATCTCACCCAAGGGCGCCAAATTGGTTAGTTCAGTTCAGACAACTGAACTGTTAAGATTGGTCGGATTCCTTGACTCCTTGTTATGAGGCCGACAAATGTGTCCTTCTTTTGCAAATTTGAAGGATAGGTCCGGTGTATCCCATCTAGCCTTGGTTATCCTAGGTTTCATTGCGAGACCAAGCAAGCTGGTTGCACCTCGATCAGAGGAAATAGGTATTTGGTGCGGAATAGCTGTGAATATTGGAAGTTCAGTTTAATATAATACTTCAATAGCTACGTTTACATGGACACAACTAATCGGATTGAAGGCCTGATCAGATCAAAAATGTTTCATGTAAACATGTCAGACTGAAGATTCTAATCCGATTCGGTCCGATCGGATCTAAATTTAATTCCGAATGAGAGAGGTGGTTTTTGCCGATCGCCATTCTGATTGGCGTCCATGTAAACACCCATTCGGATCTTAAGAGTAAAATAATCTTCACTGCGCATGTGTGTGACGTCAGCGTGACGTTTTTCCGCCTTGTCAACAACAGGAAACCACCGGTCGCTCTCGCTCTCGCTGTGAACAACATGGCGGGAGGAGTCTAGGAACGCCGACTTATACACTCAAGTTCATTTAAAGCTGCAGGAAGCAGGAATTTATCCTCTTCCTCTTTTCTCTCTCCACAGCCCACTCGCTCTCCCACGCCGGTTCAATCGCTCATTCTCTACATTTTCTCTCGTACATTTCGCTGCCAAGCGCTTTTTTCCTCCTCTCTCCTTTTTTCTTTCCGCTCGCTCCGAGCGCATCGTTTGTCAGGCCTCCCAAAAACCAGACGCAGACAGAACTGCCAAGTTTGGCAGGAAGTTCTGCGCATGCTTAAAAGATTTAATCTGATCCAACGCTTGGTACATGTATACACACGTCATGATCGGATCATTTCATTTAGTGTCCATGTAAACGGAGATTTTGAATTTCCGATCAACCAAGGTTTGGATCGGATCGGGGAAATTTTGCGCATGTAAACGTAGCTAATGTGAATAGTTCCGTCTGAAATGAATGAATGTTTTAAATGGTTATTGAGTCAGATATGTGGCAGATAATGTTTGATTTATCTAAATGTTTTTATCTGTTACTATTTAAATGGGTTATAATTTAAGGACAGATTCTTATATGCAGTGTGGGGACTATAAATCTGATATGATTTGTATTTTTTAATTGCTATTTTGCACACTTTGCTTAACTAAGTATTTTTTGTTGTTGAACATAAGAGATTTTGCAGATATATTTTTCATACATACATTGTTTAGACTTACTTATATCTTTCTACCACTTTTATAGAACAGAATAGAACATTCCTTTACTGTCCCACAATGGGGAAATTCTGGTGTTTAAAGCAGCAAAAAGATCATAGAAAAAAGTGGTCACACATATGTGGACCATTTATATAGCTCCAATTCACAATACATCATCTCAAGGCACTTTACAGTTCAACCGATCATTCAGTCAATTGATTCAAAGTTTTCTATATAAGGAAAACCAGTTGATGCATCGACTCATTGACTCAAATGCAATCCCTCACACCAAGCATGCTTGTAGCGACAGTGGAGAGGAAAAACTCCCTTTTAACAGGAAGAAACCTCCGGCAGAACCAGGCTCAGTATGAGCGGCCATCTGCTGAGGCTGACTGGAGTTCAAGGAGACAGAAGCAGAGATAGGAAACACACAGCCAGGCAGACGAGCTCCGACCCAACTCTCATGTCAGAGCACATCCAGCCAGTCAGAGTCAGAGACACAGGACCACACTGGAAAACAGGCCGATCTCCAGCATTTATAAACAAGGGTGTTGATGGCAGCAGCACAGCTGATATTTCTTTACAGGATGGTGTCACAGCCAAACAGGAACAGAGTAGACAAAGCTACTATGAGAAAACGATAAACAATAAAATACTGTACTGTAAAGTGTTTTAACAGGAGAATAAATAACCAATAAACAACTATGGACATTTTTACAGTTAATGAATATGTGAAAATAATAGCAACATCAGAGATGTGCAAAATGACAGGAGCATGTTATTTAACTGACTAAGGTTTATATAATTAGATTTGCTTTTATTTGTTCATGCTCCCATTGGTTGTCACCCTTATTCCACTCTGTATTCTCATGAGTGTATACTTTTTGAAAAGTATTCATTCATTTCCTGCTTAGTGTGTCAACTGTTACGGTTGCTAAGTGACAGAGCATACAGCGGAGAAAGCCTAGGAAAACTAGACCTGTTTGAATTCACAACCAAAACTGTTCTGTTCTCTTTATCTTCACTTACCTAGAAGGATGGAGTCCAGCTAGACCGGGTCCTTGGATGATGCAGCCCATAAATGTGAATGTATATATATATGTCATATCAATGTATTTTTTGCACCATTTTCTCCCACACTGTTTACATTTGATCACCACTGCACTTGAAATGGAAATGTTCAGTAAGCTGCACAAAAAGAAATTTGATTTTGTATATTTCTGTGTATACAAAATGAAAATACAAGTTGTCTAAGTCTCATTGCTTTATTCATTACTAGATAGATAGATAGATAGATAGATAGATAGATAGATAGATAGATAGATAGATAGATAGATAGATAGATAGATAGATAGATAGATAGATAGATAGATAGATAGATAGATAGATAGATAGATAGATAGATAGATAGATAGATAGATAGATAAACTTTATTCCGGACTCATGGTCCAATAATTACATAAATTACTCTTTCTATTTTTTACAAATTTTATTTATTTACACCCACAGTCTATTGTTGGTCTCATTAAAGCCTAATAGATATGCACCAATGATTGTTTACTTGCTCCCTATATATATATATATATCCCTGCAGATATCCAGTGCCAATAAGCATCGACACTTGGCTGCTGTGTGGGTGGGACTTCCGGGTCCTTTGGCATGTCGGTCCTAATGCGCAGACTCCTGAGTTCGAAGAGTGTTTTCTATAGAGCTAATCGGAGCCTCGTCCTTCATGTTTGCACAGGTTTGTTTCTACCTAGAAGTAGCCGGGGTGTTAATAAAGCTGTAAGATAAAAAAGTGCATCAGTGGGTGATCTCTGAAAAGAAGATAAACTGTGTGGAGATCGTCTGTAACTGCTTAGTTACTGTTACAGGAAAGTTTGTAGAGAGATAAGCTAACAGAGATGTGGAGACATCAGGTCAAACAGCGACTGGATGCAGCAGAGGAGCAGAGTCATGAAGTACTGGATGCTGCTTCCAGCTCCGAGGATTCCGGTTGGTGTATTTTCATTTTTGTTTTGTTATGGTCTGGTTTGAACTGGATTCCTGGTTTGATCACTCAATGCATTTGTAGCTTGAAAGGTCGGAGGTGTTTTCTGTCGAGACGCATTATGAGCTGCTAACTGCAGACAGAAGAGTTGATGCCGCATGAGCGTCCAAACCATACCATAGACATAAGGTAGACGCGCATCGACAGCTTTCGCCTATGGGCGCTGACGTGATTTGGTGGCGCCATCTTGGGGCGGTCGACAGCTCCACTCAGTGTGTTGAGCAGGAACAGAATCAGTTTGAATCAACTTTAACTCGCTGAATGTTGAACTAAATTTCACTTTTATTTATCTATTTATTATTATTTTTTTCTGAAAATAAATGTTTCAGTGCATTTAAATATTCTCAGTGAGGTTAAGAGTAATAGAATATTCTGATCAGATGCATGTTGCAAAGCACAGCCACAAACATATTTAGACAGGTATACACACATCTCTCTCTCTCTATAGATAGATAGATAGATAAATCTCCTTCTATTTATAAATATACTGTAAAAACACTAAAATACTGTAATAAATTTCCACAGCGGTATTCATTATTTTTTCTTCAGATGCAAAATACTTACATTTGTAAAAACATTGTACAGTATTTTATTTATTTTGAACTCCACTGATTCTGTTGTATTTATACACCTTTTAAGGTCAAAATTTAGTGACCTTTTTATCTGTAATTCTATCTATATCTATCTATCGATCGATAGAAAGATAAAGTGTTTCGCCGATGCCATTTTTTGGCCCCGATCCTGACTGTGCAGTATTTGCCGATACCATCTGTTTGAAATTGATGTCTGTATGTGTATGTATGAAGAACTGCAGACTACTTGGATGTAAAATAATTGCCATCATGGCTTTGTCAAGCTGCTGCCTACCTTTCTGACGCAAGAAAAAGACTAATTCAAAGTGAATCCAGTAGAACTTTTTATTGTCTGCCTGGAATGGGTGACAATAGTTGAATAAAGTTTTGGCTGTCAAAACGGTATCAAAGCTACTTGTTGGTAGTCGCCGATACCGATACCACCATTTTAGTGCTGGATTGGGGTCCTGTGGATATCTATCCGTCATTACACTGTCACAAGTACAGAGCAATGACATTTTCTCTGCATTTCACCCATCCACTTGGGGAGCAGTAGGCTGCCATTGTGCGGCGCCCAGGGATAGGGGTCTTTGCTCAGGGACCCGGAGTGGGGCTCAAACTCAGAACTCTATGAAAAGCCTAAACTCACCGGCCACTTTATTAGGTACCCCATGCTAGTAACGGGTTGGACCCCCTTTTGCCTTCAGAACTGCCTCAATTCTTAGTGGCATAGATTCAACAAGGTGCTGGAAGCATTCCTCAGGGAGTTTGGTCCATATTGACATGATGGCATCACACAGTTGCTGCAGATTTGTCGGCTGCACATCCATGATGCAAATCTCCCGTTCCACCACATCCCAAAGATGCTCTATTGGATTTAGATCTGGTGACTGTGGAGGCCATTTGAGTACAGTGAACTCATTGTCATGTTCAAGAAACCAGTCTGAGATGATTCCAGCTTTATGACATGGCGCATTATCCTGCTGAAAGTAGCCATCAGAAGTTGGGTACATTGTGGTCATAAAGGGATGGACATGGTCAGCAACAATACTCAGGTAGGCTGTGGCGTTGCAACGATGCTCAATTGGTACCAAGGGGCCCAAAGAGTGCCAAGAAAATATTCCCCACACCATGACACCACCACCACCAGCCTGAACCGTTGATACAAGGCAGGATGGATCCATGCTTTCATGTTGTAGACACCAAATTCTGACCCTACCATCCGAATGTTGCAGCAGAAATCGAGACTCATCAGACCAGGCAATGTTTTTCCAATCTTCTATTGTCCAATTTCGATGAGCTTGTGCAAATTGTAGCCTCAGTTTCCTGTTCTTAGCTGAAAGGAGTGGCACCCGGTGTGGTCTTCTGCTGCTGTAGCCCATCTGCCTCAAAGTTCGACGTACTGTGCGTTCAGAGATGCTCTTCTGCCCACCTTGGTTGTAACGGGTGGTTATTTGAGTCACTGTTGCCCTTCTATCAGCTCGAACCAGTCTGGGCATTCTCCTCTGACCTCTGGCATCAACAAGGCATTTCCGCCCACAGAACTGCCGCTCACTGGATGTTTTTTCTTTTTCGGACCATTCTCTGTAAACCCTAGAGATGGTTGTGTGTGAAAATCCCAGTAGATCAGCAGTTTCTGAAATACTCAGACCAGCCCTTCTGGCACCAACAATCATGCCACGTTCAAAGTCACTCAAATCACCTTTCTTCCCCATACTGATGCTCGGTTTGAACTGCAGGAGATTGTCTTGACCATGTCTACATGCCTAAATGCACGGAGTTGCCGCCATGTGATTGGCTGCTTAGAAATTAAGTGTTAACGAGCAGTTGGACAGTTGTACCTAATAAAGTGGCCGGTGAGTGTATAAACTGCTATAAATGATCAATGGGAACAACTAACTGTATTTTTTTTTTACTTTTTCTGCCATCCTGTATGTGTTTAAAATAAAAAGCTTTTCTCAAAAGCACCGTTTATATAATCTCGAAGGAAATAAATTGTTTACAGTCTAACTCGCTTCCAGATGAAGTAGAAATGTCTTTAAAATTTAAAGTGTGTCCTAAAAACAAAGCAAAACAACAACAAAAGAATTATACGGGGAAGAGTGAAATCTTGATTCATGATTCAGTTAATATATTGTGTAATTATATGTGATGTTTTGGGCTTGGGGAACAAATGCAGAACCTGCTGGGCTCAAGTATTAAAAGAAGCACTGACTGACTATTATATATACAATCAATCGAGAGGTTTAACTGTAGAAAAAAAATCTGGTTATCATTTTTCCTCTTAACAGCTATGCTGCAGAACCTACTTTCTAATTAATTCTTATCAAGCTGACCCCACTCGGTTGTAAGAGTAAACAAGGAAAAAGATAGAAATAGTAATAAAATCTCATTTTCTGAAAAGTAAAAGATTATATAAACGATCAGTGGTCTCTGAAAAATCAACAAAACACAGATCAGAAAGAGTTAACAGGTGGAATACCGCAGGTGATGCCATAATTGTCTGTTCTTCATGCAAATGATAAAATGTGGCGTCCACAGACAAACAGACGGGAATAAGATATGACGGCTGACTTAATAAAACATGGTTACAGGGTCATAATTGCGACATGAAAAAAACATCAACAATAACAATTCCAAATTTTAAATACTACAATCCTAATTAGAGGATAAGCATCATGGCAACATCCAAACAACATCCCTCTTCCTCCAATTGAATCTGTGAGCACAATCTGCGTGCAGATTCCGAGGCTTTCAGATGCTTCTGACTCGTGATGCATTTATTTGATCCCCAAACTTTAATTTCTCATAATATTTCATGTTACCTATAGACAACAGACACGTGCTGGACAGATCTTAGGCCAGGATAAATTATAACATTTATTCCGACCCATTTTTTTTAACTTTTGGAGCATTTTCATCGGGCAACCACACAGCCACCTAATTTCTCCAAACAGCTGTGTTGTGGACCCCGTTTGTCACAAATTTATCTAGTTGATTGTTTACTGACTTTTTATCTGCCTTTCTCTTCATGAAAAAATATCAAACAGCCATAACGTGTGATACCCACATCGTAATGGCAGCTGGCTGCTTACTCTAGGATTTAAATTCCACCATGAACAGAGATGGCAAAAGTACTCACTTTCCGTACATGAGTAAAAGTACAGATACTTGTGTTAAAAAATACTCTGGTAAAAGTGGAAGTACTGATTAAACTTCTTTACTCAAGTAAAAGTAACAAAGTACAGGCTTGTAAATTTACTTAAAGTATAAAAGTAAAAGTACAAACCACTTTTTTCATGCCGTTGCCTACATTTTAAATGGATGTCTGCCAATAGGACTAGATCTCCGTTGTGTTCATTTTCAATCATCTCGTCGTCCATACTACTATGCTAACGCCACCGCCACCAAGCTGCAATGATTTGCCGCGAATGAATACCGCCGAATCTGTAGATTCATCTTGTAGTGGTGCGTCAAATGCAACGTAGATTCCCATCCAATTAGACTGAATTTGGTATTGATGACGTGAAAAATAATAACGGTACCTCCATTGAAATGATTCAAAACTAAAGTAATGAGCCAATTTTTAAAAATGTAAGGAGTAGAAAGTACAGATATTTGTGTAAAAATGTAAGGAGTAGAAGTAAAAAGTCGGCATAAAAATAAGTAGTAAAGTAAAGTAAAAATATCAGAAAAATCTACTTGAGTACAGTAACAAAGTATTTGTACTTCGTTACTTCCCATCTCTGACCATGAATTCATAAAAAGTAAGCTTTCCGCATCAGTAGGTACATGATTCAGATTTTATTAGTTGAAATGCGCCTAAATAAATACATTTTACCCCCTTTGTACACATGGGGCAGTAGTGATGGTGAGATGCATTTGAACTATTTGGCCAAATTGCTTCAACAATCCCCACAGTTCATGAAGCTTCATGTGAACATGTCACCACCTACTGGTGGTGTGCAGAACTACAGTTAATAATCTAATCTGTGCTTTATTTTACAATAGTTTTTTCCTATTTGAGTTCATTTGAAATTGTTAACTGATTGGTCTGTATAATAAAATCTTTTTTAAGTTTAAAATGTCTTTGAAGAGAACAGTCAGTTAAGGTACACTGTTTTTCTGCCATTTTAGTGAAATAAGCTCAAGCAGACAATGAAAGTTTGTGCAAATTGGGCAACGATGAGCAAAATGAAAGGCGTTATTCATTTTTATTCAGACATTATTCGATGAAGTTTTTCGGCATTTTTTGTTTTTTTGGGGAAAGAATCAGATAGATTAACTTGTGATAAATGGGGTCCACAATAGAGAGGTTTGGAGAGATTAGGTGCCTGCATGGATGCCCGATCAAAATGCTGCAAACGTATCGGATCAGAATAAATATTGCAATTTCTGTAAAGATCTATCCAACACACGCTTTGCTTTATGTAGTTTTGTTTTTCTTAATGTAGTTGCGCTTTGCTTTATGTAGTTGCGATTTCCTTAATGTATTTGCGCTTTTAGATTTGTAGTTTCAGTTTGCACTTCAGGGCCTCCGTAGTAGAATTATAACCAGATGGGAAATAAAAAGGCAAACAGAACTTTGTTCTATCAATCAGCATACACCTCATAAAATCTCCCTGTTCAACATGTTGATTGTAAACAGATTGTAAACAGTGAGTCTCCAGTGCTTTTTGAACGCTCTGGAATGGCATTTTGTTATTTTTTCTCACTAAAATATCACAGATATTAACTACCGTAATTTTCTATAAGCCGCACCTGAATATAAGCCGCAGAAGCTAAATTGCATGATTTGTACATATACAAACCGCACCGAACTATAAGCCGCAGGTTTTTTACCATATGGTTCGTGCACAGAGAGGATTGTCGGGAAAGAGGCAACTGTTTGGGGAAGCTCCTATTTATTAACATTTCAACACAATTGAATTGAGACAATTCTTCCTGCTGGCGTCTCCAACGTCTCACCATTGACTCGTTGATTCCAAGATTCCAACGCAGCGGTTCTATTTCCTTCGTTTACTGCCAAATTGACTGCCTTTAACTTAAAAACGGCATCATATGCATTTCAACGTTGGTTTTCCATAATGAGGGTGTCAAACAAACTGTCTTGCGCTCGCAATATCTGTCTTTCTTGGACTCTGCTTCCGGAGGACATCCGCATTCCCGCACGCGAGGCTATTTGTGTGTTGAAGCAAATGTGACGTCAACATGGTGGATGGTAGAGTCCTGCACGGGTCGAGTTTTACCAACATACCCGCCCGAACCCGTTAGGATGACTACCGAACCCGACCCGTCACCTGCGGATATCTTCAATTCAAATCCGAACCCGACCCGTTGATATTTAACCCGCAACCCGACCCGTTAACACCTCAAGTAATAGGCTATAGTACGCTGCGCTGCACAACAGCGCCATTTACACTGCAGCAGACGTGTATGCACTGACTGTGGCCTTTTTGGAGGGAAGCCCACACTGCCGGCAGGGCTTTAAGCTACAACAAGGGTGACCCCAGTGCCTGATTAATAGAACATTTCTGATGTCCATAACAAAACACACGCATAAAAAAAAAATCACCAACTACCCGCCCGCACTAAAAAAATATCCGCCCGACCCCCGACTCGTTTATTTTTATTTATGTATTTTTCACCCGCAAAAGAGCATTTTAGCGGGTGACCCGTCGGGGACCCGCGGGTACCCAACCCGTTGCAGGACTCTAGTGGATGGTAAAATCCATAGATTTAGGTACCATATTACCCTAGTGGCCGTTAGCTGTAAAAGTCCATAGATAAGCCGCATTGTTATATAAGCCGCAAGGTTGAAAAATGGGGAAAAAGTTGGCGGCTTATAGTCCGAAAATTACGTTAAATAATGACTCAGAATTTAAATCTTTCCGTACATTTTGCTTTGTACTTGCGACTCGTTTTAAATTTTCAAGGCATCTCTACTTCCTCTGGAGACGAGTCGGCTTGTAAACAATTTGTATCATCGGAGATGATGATCTGACGATGACCTGAACAGGAAGGGAAAATATACATTTCCCTCATATTTTAATCAAAAGACATCAAACAGGATGGTAAGAACCTGGTTACAAATTTTCTTAGGTGTGCAGTGCAGAAATTGTGTCTGTACAGACGCTGTATGGAAGGGCGTGAAAGCCAAAAATTATTTAAATAGGTTGCATAAACCAAGCTTTAAGACCCCTGCTACCCAGAGAGGCAGAAGTTTTAAAGCTTAAATTAGAACTGCTTTAAATCTTCTGGTTATGGAGTCCTGGAGTATTAATACTGAATATTTCAAACCTTCATGTTAAAAGGAATAATATCAAACTCTATAAATCTATTGAAATTATAGCAATCATTTATGTTAAGAAATGGGTGAAGGTTGTTGATCCAGTTTCTGCCAGGGGTCACTCTTTCCTTGAAAGGTTTCCTTTACTAATTGCTATACATTTAATATGCACCTACTCCCAGCCAAACACAGTTTAGTTCATCATTAGAGCTGCCACTGACTATTTTTCTAACAACTAATCTTTGGACAAGTTTTTTGTTTAGTCGACCAATCTTAAGGACTAATTGGACTGCTGGAGGTTGGCAGAATCGCAGCGGGATGGTGACCCCAAGTTAATAGAAAGTTCATTCACACTGTATCTGTGTGCATGTGCTCATTCGATAAACCGTCTGTCCTGAGTCAGGTGCCATCTCAATAGCACAAAAATGACTATAAATGTGAGTGCATTGGGTCACACATTGTTCATAAAAAAATGTCTTAGGAATCCTAATGTTACTTACGTTGTCTTTTCAGAAGCATCCTCATGTTAAATGAGGAAGTTATGTCCCCTTGAAGGCTATTGCGCCTTGGGACTTCCCCACCGGTTCTTTTCCTGGGAGCAAGTTATTTACTACTCTTAACTCAAACTGGGTAAAACCATATAAAAAAGGACTATAAAAACAGGAGTAAAAAAGTAACAGTGTTTATTCCAGATCAGGTCGTTACAGGACACAGAAATTGCTTGGAGCTTGCACAGCTGTGGGCTCAAAAAACGTCAGCGAGCGTCCGGCAAAGATTGAGCCCCGAACAAGGTCATCTTCTCCTTCTTATACCTCATGAGCCCATGTGTTATATCATGTTGATGTTTAGCTGTCCGTATCAGAAACTGACACGCCATCCATACCCTGACCTGTATGCAAGATGCATTTTACAGATAGCTCTCCTTTATCAGTCCGGCTCCAAGATGTGCTCATTTCCTGTGTATTTCTAAAGACAAAGGCTGTCCTGATTAGATGACCTCCGTACACACAGTGACATCCACAATGTGAAGGAAGGCCCTCTACTCTGTCTAATCTGGCTAACAGAATAACAATGCACATGATGTATAAAGAGTAAACCTAACACTCAACAACTCCTGTGTGTTTCCTTTTAAGGTGGTTTTGCTCCCTTGATAGCCAACAAACACAAAGTGTACAAACCACTCTATTACCAACTGTCTGAAAGTATTCTCATACTTTGGATACTCATACTTTGGTTATCTAGCAGATGCCTCCATCTTCGATTCAGACTCACTAATTTTTGTATCATGTTTAAAACCAGAACCAACAGGGAAAGAAGCTCGTCACAGAAAAGGAAAGGGGGACAATTTGCCAGCGGTGTCTGCACAGCAAAACTAGTGCTGTGGACTGGAATCCCCTGAACTCAGATGATCAGTTTGCTCAGAACAAAATAAATAGGAGATAAACAAGCTGAAAGAAAAAGTCATCGACAGAAAAAAAAAAAATCTGTTGACGAATTTTCATTGTGGATTAGGTGGACTAAGTTGACTAATGGTGACTGCTTTATTCATTATAACTGATTGTTTAAATATTTTTACAGGGTTTCCATGGGTCATTAAAAATCATTAAAAGTCATTAAATTATTATTTTTTAAATTAAGGCCTTAATTGGCATTAAAATTCATTAAATGTGTTTATTGTGGCATTTAAAATGCTGTATTAAGAAGCAAATTTCAACAAAAGTGGCTGGAAAACGAGGAATCCGGGACATGGCTGCAGCCTGTCGACGGATACCTGTTGGTGGCATTAAAATTATTTCTAAGAGCATTAAAAAGCATTACATTTGAGTTATTCATTCCTGTATAAACCCTGTTTTAAGTAATCAAGATAACAGGATATAAGGTTTGTATCACCATGCATAATATTTTGTTCTAACTCTAGGCTTGATTGTCTTCTCTGCAGATGTTCAGCTAATGCTATTGGTGGAGGAAGATGCTCCTAAAGAACAAAGTTCTGATGGGAACCAGGAAGATTCAGACTATATCCTTGTAAAAGAGGAACGGGAAGACCTCTGGGCCAATTTGGAAGAAGAGAATGACAAGGAAGATACTGATGAAACATTATTTCCATTAAACATAGTTATTGTTAAGTGTGAGAATGATGATGAAGAAGATGATAATGAAAAAAAGTCTTTGTTCTCACATTTTCATCAAAAAGAAGGCGATCTTCCAAGCAGCAGCAGCTTGGCTGACGAGAAGAAAGGAGAACTTGATGAAGATGACTGTGAAGTAGCAGGATCCAGCAGAAAACTTCAACGAAACCCTTGTGGAGACACTTTGAACTCTTCAGACACTGAAGAAAGTGGAGATTATGAGGAGTCAAAGTTTCATAACGCAGACCTTAAACCCCTGTCAGATTCTGAGTCTGAAACCAAAGATGGTGACAATGACTGGGTTCCAGGTTCAGGTAGAAACCTGGTTAAAACATCTCTGAGCTGCACCGAGTGTGGCAATCAGTTTGCAAGCAAGCATTCACTCAAGAGACACATGAAATGTCATTCGATCATCCGGTCTTTAAACTGTTCAGTCAACAATAAAAGTGTTCGGAAGCAGAAGAACTTAAATTCCCCCAAAAAAGATCCGGCATCCATTAAGTACTTTAGCTGTGACTGTGGAAAAAGTTTTACCAGAAGAACAGATCTAAAGATTCACATGAGAATTCACACTGGAGAGAAACCTTTCTGTTGTGACGTTTGTGGTCAAAGGTTTAACCAACAGGCACATTTAAACCAACACACCAGAATCCACACAGGAGACAAACCGTTTTGTTGTGAAGTTTGTGGGAAAAGATTTAGCCAAAAGGCACATTTAAACCGACACACAACAAGCCATTCTGGAGAGAAACCCTTTGAGTGTGACGTTTGTGGGCAGAGATACAGCCAACAGGCCAACCTGAACAAACACCGAAGGAGCCACACTGGGGAAAAACCCTTTGGATGTGATTTGTGTGGACAAAGGTTTAGCCACAAGGAGTCACACAAAATCCATATGAGACTGCATTCAGGGGAAAAACCATTTGGCTGTGATGTTTGCGGACAAAGGTTTGGTCACAAGGAGTCCCATAAAATCCACATGAGGACACATACAGGAATAAAGCCATTTAGCTGTGAGGTCTGTGGACAAAGGTTTGGCTACAAGTCAAATTTAAAAATACACATGAGACTCCACACTGGAGAGAAACCTTTTTCCTGTGATCTTTGTGGACAAAGGTTTATTCAAAAGGCAAATTTGGACAAACATGCTAGAGTTCACATGGAAGGGAGAGGTGTTTTACTCTGAATACCAGAAAGACCAGTTCTGACTCGGTTTGGTCTCCAAACTTAAATTGTTAAAGGACTTAAGATAGCTTCTGTTTGCAGGTTTCAGTGTTGAGTTGGATTGTTACTATTCTTGAAACAAAGCTGATTATAGCTGTTTTTATCATATCATCAAATGTTCTGATTTATATTTTAGTTAGTTTATTGATCAACACAAATGTTACATTAGCCAAATTACTTTAAAAAGCTACTGGATTGTCCGGACTGTATAGTCCAGATAATATGGTGATTTAAAATATCACAAGCATATACTATAGACAATATATTTTTTTTAAATAAAGCAGTCTGACATTTTTAAGATAATAGTGTTGGTTTAGTAAAAGGTATAGGTAGGTAGTTTAACAAATTCTGGTTGCCCTGAACCTACAGTTTCTGATTTTCATTTTATTGCTTTATTTAGACATTAAAGCAGTGAAGAGTGATTTTATGACTAGTAATCTTCAGGCTTCCTTTTCACGAAGCAGGTTTAACAAACTCAGATTCAAACCCTCAACTATAAATTGATCTAGCCTAAAGTCGGGAACTCTGAGTTTTCAGTTTTACAAATGCTGCTATGAAATAGTTCAATCATCTCTAAGTAGAACGACTCAGATTTTAGCATGCAAGTATTAAGTTATCAGTAGAGCCCCAATTAGACATGTCACTATGACAACAGGTAACAGGAACTGCCTATTTCACTCCACTGGAAATAGGGCTTTTAATGCAAATAAAAATAAATGGAAAATGTGTAAAAGACACAGAAGCCGCTCTACAGCTACAAAGGAGAGGAAGATGGAGGAGATTGTTGCTCGCGTTTATGCGTAGGTTTATATATAGTCCACATTTATTAGGATGGCACTTGTCTCCGGTGTTGCATTTGTAGGTCACTAGAACAAATATATTCTAAATCACACTTTTTGACCAGAAACTGAATTTTAGAAAGTAAAAAACAAAACATGCTAGTAAGAATTAAGTTTTATATATGTAGAAATGTTTACAAATTTTAAGTGGCTGTTTTGGCATTTATCAGCTTGACTGAATATGTATTTGTGGTATCTAAAATACATTTCCTAATGGTCAAAACTTCAGTAAAACTAATACATATCAAAATGGCTTTCCGTAGCCTGTTACCACGATAATATTACGGAATTATTTCTTGAATTGTCGTGGATCAATTTCTGTATTTAGGTAAAATCATCTGGCAGCAGGTGAAGATGAAGAACAAAAATGTTCTAATAAATGGAACCTCATCGTCTGATGTGGTTCTTCAGTTTGATTCTAACTTCTTTTACACATTAAAGGTACACTATGCAACCGGTGTTGATTTTCCAGCGAGGCTCCCTCCAGAGGGCGAAAGTAAAAGGGCACTGTCGTAAATATGCACAGCTGTTCTCCTGGTTTCTCCGTCAAGCCAGGCGCGGTTGTTTTGAGCTTAGCAGACAGGCGAACGCAACGAATGACTGCACAAAGATCGCCACTGTGCTAGCAACGAGCATGCTTTTAACTGGGGGCGTGTAGCAGTTCTCGCCGTAAAGCAAGACCGACTCTCGCGAGACTTCTGAGGCTGTGGGTGCGGGCCGAGGGCTCCTGCAATTGCAAGTGCGGTATTTCCCCCACAGACCACCAGGGCGGCCGAGAATACCTTTGTTCAACCTGAAATGACTCATTTAATCATCCTAAACGTTATGGAACAAATTAATTAACTGAAAAATGTTGCATAGTGTGCCTTTAAGTACTAAGTGTTTGCTTCCAGCTGCTTTGGACTTTATCGTACTAATAAATGGTTGTTATTAGGGACTTAGATTTATTTTTTTATTTTTTTTATACACAAATGTAAACAGAGATTTCATTTAAAGCAGCTCTAGATAATTTCATCTTTAAAAGTGCAGTCTTGAAAAACAAATACATAAAAACAGTAATATAAATATATGAGTATATTTACAGTTCTGACATTATTTTTTTTATTTTTTATAAATACAAGAAGCCTTTAACATACCGTAACATTCAGCAGTGTAATGGCAGTGGGGAAGAAACTGTTCTGGAATCTGCTGGACCTGCATCGAATGCTGCCAAGCCTCTTCCCAGAGGGCAGCAGGGAGAACAGTCCATGGGGGGGTGTGAGGGGTCATTGATGATGTTACGGGCTCTGAACATGCAGCGCTGGGATGAAATGTCTTTAATGAAGACATTTCATCCCAGCGCTGCGTATTAGAGGTCATCAGTCCCATAGGACAGCTTCAGTTGTACCAGTAGACTCGGTAGGTTGTTATTACTCCTAATAAGTCCTAATCTTAACACTAAAGTAATTCATTTCCCCTGTGGAATTAATCTATGATTAATCTGAAACTGATTTCATTAATTCTTCATGTACTGTAAAAAGAAATAAATAAAAATGATCCACATGTTGTTCATATTAAAGAAACCAAAGACACAGAAATCGATCCTGTCTCCGAGTTGTAGAATCCTCTCCATATAAATATTTAATTCTGTGTGAAAAAGTGCCAATCATTCTTTACTAAGATCAGACGGATATGCAATGTTTTTTTAAAAAAGCTAATATGTTTTTTTATGTGCAAAACTATGACCATAATTGGACTAAATCAGAAAATCAAACAGCGTGATTGGCTGTAGGGAGAGCAGAGGCAGAGGACATTTCAAGTTCACTGAAGAAAACCTACTTCCGACCAGGTTAGCTCTGGGGAGAATGTTACTATGGTAACAGAAACAGAGGTTGAATAAATTCTGTTTGTGAAATGGAAAACTCAGAGTTTCCCATATTTCAGGTTTAGAAAACAGTAAACCTGCTTTGTGAAAAGGATCCCAGGTGTGCAGTGGGAGAGCAGCCGGTTTGAATGTGTTCACAGTTATGGAGACTGGAACCAGCAACTTGATTAAAAACACAACCAAGCGAATACATGCAAGGAAACAAGAATTTAAATAATTGTTGAAAGGTAAAATCTTTGATGAACCACATTCACCAAAAGGACGATAACTGGTTTACAGTCATGTTTGTAACTAAACTGGTTTTATTGATACTCTTGGATGCATTTATAAAATACCAACAGGATGAGGACTGTCATGTACAATAATAAAGGTTGAATATAAAACAAAGCATGTATCTCATGTCAGCATAAACCCAAAGATTTATTGCAAAACATCAGCAACTCTAATAAATGGCAAATCAATGAATTGTTTGTCAGGATTTTTTTTTTTCATTTTTTATATGATTGGCATCATCAGTGTTGTTGGGAGTTGGTGGTGAGAAGGGGAGCAAATGGTTCCCTAAATGTTGGGCAGAGGTGTATTTATTTGTTCCCCAATTGCTAAGCCATAAATAACACTAAGTATTTAGAGATTTATTTTAATTATGTATTTCTGCTGTTTATGGTTCATCTCTATAGATACTTTCTCTCTTGTCCTTTAAGGCCAAGGACATGGCTGCCTGCTGAGGGAACACTTTTTAGTAGTTGTCCTTGAAGGCTTTTACTTCAATGAAACCCTAAACCAATGTTTAGGTTTTCACCAGATATGTTTTACTTCTCCATGCAAATCCAGCAGGAATGGCTGTAATAGAAAACTCTTTCTTTCTGTTTCTTGCAGTTTGTAATAGATTAGTCGCTGTAACTTAAAATCACGCTATTCTGTTCTCAGCATTTAGGTTTTACTGCTAACTTCAGCCTTCTTACACCAGCTCACACTCGCCAGTCTGTCTATCTTGCTCTGATGCTGGTATGGGCTGTGTCCGCTGTGTTAGTCCTGTTTGGGTAATAACTGAGACAGACTGATGGACCTGGGCTGCAGGTCTGCCTCTGCCTAGGCAATGAATGAATGCAGTGAATGCAGTTTCTGTAGCACGTGCAAAAAATATATTTTTTTCTCTTTCTTAAAACTCACCATTGCTATAAAATGAACCACACCTATTCCAATCACAAAACTGCCACTTGATTAGTCTTAAATCTTAGCCAAGCATGTAGTTTAGAGAATGAGGTACATGTTGACAGTGAGGTCATATTTATGTCTCTGAGCTGGCCGTAATATTGACATTAACTAGCCTTTTAACAAAGAATTGAAAGGGCAAGGGGGAGTCTGAACATTTTTTATAAATGATCATTTAAAAATATAACGAACATAAATGAAGTTTTTACAGAGAAAAACTAGCATTTTAATTTATCCATTGGTGTTTGGGTAGCGTGAAATCACATGCATTTTATTAAAGTTTCCAAAGAATAACTGTTGACTTCTTTTAAATACCAAAAGTTTTTAGCAGGCAAAGGCTGGGTACTAAACAGCACATTGAGGACCGCATAAACTACAACCCATGCAATATAGAAAAGCATAATTACAGTATGAAAACACAGCAACCAGTTGCACAGCTGTGAATCATCCCTGCCTGATGCTTAAACGCAGTGGTGGATGAAGAACTCAACAGGAGTACTTTAGTAAAAGTAATGATGTTCATATCTTACTCCACTACAAGTAAAAGTTACTCGGTTAAACATCTACTGAAGTTGAAGTACTGAAGTACTCCCTTTTGAAAATACTTAAGTATTCAGAAATACATGCATTTAAAAGTACAAATCACATTTTCTAATATCCATACATTTCTATATAATTTTTAGAGTAATGTTACAGAGCCTTTTAGCTTTCAGAAACCTGCCGATATTGACACTCTGTAGAACCTCTGCTACCTATTATACACCGCCTTTAAAGAACATCACAAAATGCCACATAAAAAGACAGCTATTTAGATTATTTTTTGTTTAAAAACAGCCAAAGAGGGTCCTAATTCTTCTCATACTTTCACAATGAAATTTAAGTTTTAAGGTCTTAAGATTTAAGATTTAATCTATTACCACAAAGAAAATACAACTCCTCTTTGATAACTAATCCCATTTTACACGGGGGTGTCATTACCCCCCCCAAAAACAGAAGAAAATACTCCAGTAAAGATATTCAAAAAAGTACACTGACAGACACTAGACCCAGTGACCACCATCAGTAGGCAATGCAGGTTAAGTGCCTTGCCCAAGGACACTGAAATCCGGAGCTCCAACCGACAACCTTCCAATTGAAGGCCAAACTCCTACACCTGACGCTGCTGCATACTTTGAGAATGATTAACAAGTATGTTAGTCCAGACACAGTGTCACGATGAACACTAAAATCACGGGCTGACCAACTTCCAGGTATTTTTTATTCTCTTTTGGACATTTTCAACCT